CCCAGCCCCCCCCCCCCCAGCCTGTAGCGTTGCCTGGGGTTGTTGTGACCGAAGTGCAGGACCTGGCACTGAGCCCTGTTGAATCTCATGCAGTTGGTCCCAGCCCATCGATCCAGCCTGTCCAGGTCCCTCTGCAGGGCCTTCCTACCCTCCAGCAGATCGACACTTCCACCCAGCTTGGTGTCATCTGCAAACTTACTGAGGGTGCACTCGATCCCCTCATCCAGATCATCAATGAAGATATTGAACAGGACCGGCCCCAATCCTGAGCCCTGGGGAACACCACTCGTGACCGGCCGCCAACTGGATTTGACTCCATTCACCACCACTCTCTGGGCTCGGCCGTCCAGCCAGTTTTTAACCCAGCGCAGAGTGCACTTATCCAAGCCGTGAGCAGCCAGCTTCTTCAGGAGAATGGTGTGGGAGACAGTGTCAAAGGCCTTACTAAAGTCCAAGTAGACAAGTTAAAGTAGTTTTGTGAGAAGCTGGACCTTGTTGCAAATGTTTTGTGCCCTCTAGCTGAAATTTTGGCCTTAAATGAGATGGTATCGGAGAAGGCATTCGTGCCCCGGTGTTCCCTGCCAAGGGGAATTTGGACTCTCCGCTTTGGGCACGGCAGAGGGTATCCCTGCTTCCCTGTAAGGCTGCTGCCCTCTTTGCACGCAGGGCTGTGGCAGCTGGGGCCGTGGGATGTTGTGCAGTGCCATAGGCCCTGCTCGGGTCAGATCCCTGCTGCCTTGGGGGACTTTAAATCATCATCTTTTACTGAGTCTGGCCCGTAGCCTTCAAGGGCTCAAAGGCCCCCAGGAAGACGTTTCCCAGTGACATGCGATCACGTAAGTAAAGAGGGCCGTGCCTGTTTTATCTTGGGGAAAACACAGTGTAAAGTTGGAAAAGGAGAGGCAATTCTCCCCAGAAACTCCCAGGGAAGACAGTCAGGAAGTTTGTTTAAATACTGCAGCCATATGGTTGCTTTTCTTTGGAGGTGCTAAAATATTTTTGGGTGCAGTTTTGCTTTGGTTTCAATATTGGTTAAGTATTCGAGACCCCAAAAACATTCTCCTGAGCAGAACAGGCTGCTGCATCCTTTATTTAGAGTAACCCTTGACTGTTCCTGAATGGGTGAAGTGTCTCAGAAAACTCCTTTCAAACTCCAACAAAAGGGCCTCTGAGCAAGGAGGGAGGGTGAAGGTCTGGTATTTTCCAGACAGAGTTACTGAAGTGATTGTTTCAGATTAAGAAACTAGTCCCAGCCATTTTGCCTTAGTTTTGGCCTAGCTATAATTTGATTCTTTGAAATTTCCAACTGCACTTTTAATTGGTTAGGGTACACTTTTTTGCTTCCTGTGTTAAACACCTATCAAACATTGTTAAGTAACATCTGTACTCAACTCCAAAATGCATTTAATACACTTAATAATTCTGTTACTTGCAGCTTGATTTCTGGGTTGATCACAGTAATAGTGCACCTGTCTATTTGTAATTGGCCATATTGCATTGCAATGTTTATTTTTAAAATAAAATGTTGTAATACTTCGTATGTTCATAAGAAGTTAAAATGCAAATAACTCGGATGGATACACTTATTTCTATAAATCTGGACTTCAGACCGTATTATCTTAAATATGGTTATGCAGTAGGTATAGCACCATTTGCTTTTAGTAGTGATGAATAATTGCTTAAGGCAGCATATGAAATGTCACTAGGAGATTGTACTGGCTGAGGTTTGAATGCCAAAATTGGGATTTTGCAAGAACACTAGCTTAGCAACTTGTCTTTGGAATTGCTTCAGCTTTTTTAAAGGATTAGCAAAAACACAGCACACACAAATGTAGGTTGGTGATAATTTTTTTACTGAGATACAATAGCCTCCACACAGAGCAGAAGAAGAGACTGATAAATGATTGAAAATGTGATCAAGAGAAGATTATCAAGGAGAAAAATCTTGTTTGTGGGTACACAGTTCTATGATTATTTTTTTTTCCTCAAAACTTCGTCAGGAATAATTAATTATAGTAATAGATAGGCAGTTCATTAATCTTAACTTCCAAGTATGAATCATCCGGCCTTAAGAAGTTTGATCCTGAAAGAAAAGGAAAAACTGATTAGATTTGGACTGAGAAAATACAGGAACAATGTAGCTGAAATTCTTCCAACATAATGTTGGAAACGTACCAGGAAATGCCATTTAAAAATTGAGCTGGATCTTTTTAAGCTTATACTACAAGCAACTGTTAGTGCAATCTTTTTAGACAAATCTAAGCTGCAAATTAGGTTTTGAATCTCAAAATCGTGCTGTGGCAGGACCAGTGGTAGCTAGGTTTTGTATATGCATGAAGCTGCCTAAAACGTTCAGACTTGTGTCAACAGCTAGAGCCCAAAACCCTCCTGAAAAAGCCTGGTCTCCGAGTTGTATGCAGAAGAGTGACAGACCTGCTTTTTCTTCCTTGCGCACGCATTCACTGATTTATAAAAAGTCATAGAAAACCACAGGATTTCAATAATTAACTGGGTCATCTTCACTTAAATCTTTTTCATCCTTATTCGTAATCTTGTTGATCTTTCTTTTGGCATACTGTTACTAGTATACTCGCCAGCAGCGGGGTGAGCAAAGTAAGAGCGAATTCCTCTGCACAGAGCTTGCATGCGTTTTCCGTATGGGTGCAAGCTTTAGAGTCTGTTTCTTGAGATCGTGAAGCAATTCGCAGTGGGTGGAAGTCGGTGAGGACTAGGTCCCTAAGCATCAAAGAAACAAACCCAGAAAACGGCGTTTAGAGAACCCCAAAATGGTGTTTGGGATCTGTATGCACATCTTTGATAATGGAGAAGGGGTTATTCAAGTGCAACGTGGCTTTTGGAAGACTGGACTTGTGGAGCGACTGAGCCCTGCTGAGAAACTTGTCTTCAGTTCTTGGAGTCTTCCCTCCTCTTTGCGGGTAGGGAGCGAGTACCTTTCGCAGGCGATTGATTGCTCACCGCTTTCATTCCCCATCCTACCTTGCGTCCTTGAGGTAGTGCAGGAAACCGTTTATCAAGCAAAAAACTCTTGTCCATTTTGGCAATGATGCATGGGTTTTTTTTGAAAATACCTTGGTTGCAACGTAGCCCTATTAAAATAACAAAAGCTTTTTGTTGCAAACAATATACGGTGAAAGATAAGCGGATTGCCAGAGAGAAGCACTGGGTTAAAAAAAAGGATTTATACAGTACAAATAATCATAGGGAAGGAAAATATTGTTTTTTCAATTATATCGTCTAGGTAAATGTGTCATGGAGGCTGACAAGGGACTTTGGTAAAAGGTAAAGTAAACTGCCTTCTGCGGTAATGCCACGTGTATCATACGTTATACTGCTTCAGTCAGGTGAAGGAATTCACTGCTGAAAGCATCAGTGCAGCATGCAGTACGGCAGATACGATAAAATGGTTAAATGAGAACAGTTTTAAGCATCTCCTCTAAAATCCTGTTAAGTTTTGCTGAAGCTTAGGTGTGTTTCAAAAACCTTTTGGTTATTTTCCATTTGTTTGAGCCATGGTGGCAGCCACTTCCAGCCTTCCCATCCCAGACGGATTTCCAGGCCTCGGAGCCCTCCTTTGAGTCGGTGCTGACCCCAGTGTCAGTGGTGTGAGTTTTCACCGTGGCACCCCTTCAAGTCTTTCTTGCTGTTCTGATTTCTGAAAAAGATTAAAGTAGGTAAGGGTTTAGGTTTGTGGATTCCCAACAGTCTTTCAGTCAATAAAGTGATAGCTCTAGTAACCATGCTTTGGAAAACTATTGCTTTTAGAGATCAGATTAAAGGGGAGAGAATTCCAGGCCTTAGAGGGGAGGCTAGGGAGCCATTAGTACTGTTGTGTCACGCCTTACATTCAGGCTTTGTCTCGCCAGCGTTTTCATGTGTCTGATGCATCCACCTTAAGAAGACAGACAAGCTTTCATATTACTGCTCTATTCCCCGCTCCAGGTGGAAAACAAGACATTTTTTCATGTAACCACTGGAGAATTTCCTTTAAAGAGTAAACTGGATGTTTGGAGTCAAACTTGCAAGAAAAATTTCTAGGAAAAGTAAAATAATTCCTTATTGTTCTTCCCCCAGCAGGAGCTTGCAGGCAGAGTGTTATTTACAGTATTTCACTGTATTTTGTGTTCAGATCCTTCATGCTAATATTGTTTTTTTCTCCACACAATTATTTTCAGTGTTTATGCTAATCTCAAGACAGACTGTTGATTGCATATCCAGCAACTGTCTCTTTACCTTGATATATCAAGCACTGAAA